GCCCGCACACATGAGGCTGCTTCTCTGTCACCACTGTTTGTGTTGCACCCTCTGCCTAGGATTCTCTCCACCATCTTCCCTCATCAGTTTACTTCTGCCTAACCTTAAGACTGAACCAGGCCTTAGTTACCTCTACCCTGAGTAACCCTGTCCCCAGGCTAGATCAGGTGTCACTCAGGTGTCACTCATTACACCCTAGGCATATCTTTGTCATCAAACTTGCCACACTGTTTGTGGTAAGGTAAGGCTCCTGTCCATCTTATACCTCACCATTTCTCCAGCATAGGTCTGGCAGGCCCGTGATAAATATTTGTTGAATGAATGGCTCCCTCACTTGACTGTGAGTTCCTTGAGAGCAGGACTGGCTACACAGTTCCTGAGTGTTTATTATTTCTTCTAAGTAAATGGATTTGAAGTGCATAGGAGGGATACCTAACCAAGCCTGGGAAACCAGAGACTTCCCAGAGGAGATGATGCCTGAATGAGGTCAAGAGGATGAGACGTTACCTAGGTGGAAGGAATGTGGAAGTGGGACGGTGTTTCAGGCAAGAAAAAAGGCTGAGGGGGAGAGTCTGGTGTGTTCCAGAGACTGCTCGTCATTTGGCTGGAACTTAGGGTCCGTGAGGGACAATGGCTGCAGAGAGAGAGGGCTTTCACCTGTGTTCATTGACTGATTCAGCAAATATTCATTGATACCTATAGAGTACCTAACCCTGTGCTGAACCCTGAAGGTAGGAAATGAATCAGACAACCTTTGCTCTTGAGGACTATGCAAATTATCTAAAAGGCACTGTTAGAGTAGTGGGGAGCCTTTGAGCTTGAAAGAGGAATGGCTGGCTGACATGATTGGGTATACATTCTAGAACAGTGCTTCTCAAATATCTGTGGTGAAGGACATTAAAAAAAGAATTTCTGATCCATCAGATTGATAAAGCTAGTATAATTACAAGACAAAATACAAGTCCGTCTTTCTTCACATTAGATTCAGCAGTATATGAGTGCTGTAAAGTTATCATAAAGGCTTCTAAATGCCTATTCTCAATTTCCATACTTACCATACACCAGTGATAACAGCACTGGTTTGTAGGTTGTCCTTTAAGTAGCATGGGTAGAGATCCCATTTTGGCTGCAGATGGAAAATTGGTTGGTGGTGGTGAAGGCGAATGGAGGCAGACACACCATGGGAAGCTGTTTCTCTGATCCAGGCAAGTGGTAGTGTGGTCTGGACTGGGATGTGGCAGTGGGGAGAGGTTCCAGAGGTAAAAGCCACAGATTTGGGGAAGGGGAGGGGTCAAGGGTAAAGGTGGGAATTAAAGATGTCTGGTCTCTGGCTTGGGCACCTGGGTTGGGTGATGGTGACACTGAATCTGGACTGGAGGAGATATAACTTTCAGGAAGGGTGATAAGCTCAGTACTGAACATACTGAGTTTTCTTTTGAGGTATAATTAACGTAACTGTTAGTTTAAGGTGTACAACATAATGATTCAATATTTGTATATATTGCAAAATGATCACAATAAGTCTAATTAACATCCGTCACCTGACATATTAAGTTTAAGGTGTATGTGGGACCCCCAGTAGGAGATGTCCAAGAGGCAGCTGGAATTAAGGGTCTTGAGAGCAGGTTCTGAGCCGCTGTGGTCTTTGATCGAGGAAGCCTCCTTAGTCCAGCCTAGCATTGACTCCTTTCTGGGGTCTCCGACTGACAGACCCCGCTGGTAGTGGTGCTGTTTGCCCCTGAGGGAGGTCTGGGGGACAGAGCATGGGAGAGGGGAGGCAGGGGCAGGGAGCATATGCTGGGAGTAGGATTCAGGCTCCTTTTCTGTATCGTCGCATATGTGTGATCTTGGCCAGCTCTGGGGGAGCTGCAAGTCTCACTGTCACCACTGGGTGGCAGAAGTGCTTCAGACAAGTGTTCCATAGACCTGGGGAGCCTGGGCCTTTCTGTGGTATTTAGCCATCTGCCCTACTCCAGAGCTGACCTTTGGACTCCACAGATGCACTTACACGTGGGCCCCTCACCTTAAGCATGTACATATAAACATGTGTGCACCTGGAGCGCATGCAGAGGCAGGCTGCAGTCCTGGGGCCTGCTGGGGCGTCTTTCCTCCCTCTCGAAAACGCCATGTCCAGGCTGCCCTGTGCAGGGCCCCAGGCAGAGGATTTGCTTTTGTCCAGCCCAGGGATTGGCATTAAACAGGAGGGGCTGTGGTCACAGGGAGCTGGAGCCCACTGGACATGACATGACGTGGACATGCCCCCACTGTCCCTCTGTGCCAGTAGACTGTGCAGGTGCCCGTGTATTCAGAGCAGGAGTACCAGCTTTATCTTCACGATGATGCTTGGACTAAGGCAGAAACTGACCACCTCTTTGACCTCAGCCGCCGCTTTGACCTTCGTTTTGTAGTTATCCATGACCGGTATGACCACCAGCAGTTCAAGGTGAGTTGGTGTTGTGCATGTGCCCAGCCCCCGGGCCTGACAGGCCCACTACCTTCATGCCATCCCTTCCACATGCCTCTGAGCGTTCATCTCTCCCCCATTCCCCATGTCTTTATCCTCAGAAGCGTTCTGTGGAGGATTTGAAGGAGCGGTACTACCACATCTGTGCCAAGCTTGCCAACGTGCGGGCCGTGCCCGGTACAGACCTCAAGATACCAGTGTTTGATGCTGGGCATGAGCGACGGCGGAAGGAACAGCTGGAGCGCCTCTACAACCGGACCCCAGAGCAGGTCAGCCCTGAGCCTCACAAACTCGTCTCCATCCCTCCAAACCCAGTGCCTCCATCTTCCACGCCTTCAGCTCCCACACCCCCGGGTCCCCCTGCTTCCCACTGGTTGGTACCTGTGTGCCTCCCTTCCCCCACCCCCCGTTTTACCTTCACTGGCCACCTCCCTGCTCGTCACAGCCCTTCACCTCCCTCCTGATCTCTCAGATTCCCCTACAGACAGCCCAGGGCCCCTTCAGCTCGCTGGCTCCCCTCACTCCCGTGTCCTCACACACTTCCTAGCATCTCTCTCTCTCCCAGGTGGCAGAGGAGGAGTACCTGCTCCAGGAGCTGCGCAAGATCGAGGCCCGGAAGAAGGAGCGGGAGAAGCGCAGTCAGGACCTGCAGAAGCTGATCACAGCGGCAGACACCACTGCAGAGCAGCGGCGCACGGAGCGCAAGGCCCCTAAGAAGAAGCTACCCCAGAAAAAGGAGGCTGAGAAGCCGGTGTGGAGGCTTAAGTCAACCCAGCTCAGGGTCAAGGGGCCGCCTGGCACAGGGGACCCCCGGTGGAGGGCCCTGAGAGCACCCAGAGCTGGCAGGGTGCCGGGAGCAACACTGGGCCCTCTCTCGGTGACACCTCGGTCTCCATAATTCCTCCCCCAGGCTGTTCCTGAGACTGCAGGCATCAAGTTTCCAGACTTCAAGTCTGCAGGTGTCACGCTGCGGAGCCAGCGGGTATGTGTGTCACCTCCTTCAATGTGTTTGGGCCCTGGGCGCCCTGCGGTCTGAAGGCAGGCCACAGGCTTGGAGCAACAGGAGAGGTTGTGCCATGTGCTGCAGAGAGAGATGGTTTTGGGGATGGGGCCAGCCTGAGGTCCCAGCTTCACTAGATTCCACTTGCTGACTATTTCCTTTTCTGACTCAGAGATGTCTCCAGGGGTTTACTTCTCTTCCAGTCCCCCACTGCCTTTAGTCCCCTTCATCCTAAGCCACTTGTGGGGGAGAGGGCTTAGCTGCTGGGTCATTGCAGATGAAGCTGCCAAGCTCTGTGGGACAGAAGAAGATCAAGGCCCTGGAACAGATGCTGCTGGAGCTGGGTGTGGGTGAGTGTGGAGGCTGGGCCCCACAGGATGTGCCCACCTGAGGCTGTGGAGAAAGGCAGGGGGGTGCCGGCCAGGGGGAGGGCAATTCCTCCATCACACCCCTGCTCTGCCCCTGTGCCTTTCTCCCACCCACCTGTAGAGCTGAGCCCCACGCCCACAGAGGAGCTGGTACACATGTTCAACGAGCTGCGAAGTGACCTGGTGCTGCTCTACGAGCTCAAGCAGGCCTGTGCCAACTGCGAGTATGAGCTGCAGATGCTGCGGCACCGTCACGAGGCCCTGGCCCGGGCTGGTGTGCTGGGAGGCCCCGCCACGCCAGCATCCGGCCTGGCCCTGGCCTCTGCCGAGTCAGCAGTACCTGAACCTGGTCTCGGCCCTGATTCCACCAAGGACACCATCATTGACGTGGTGGGCGCACCTCTCACGCCCAACTCGGTAAGAGCCTGGACAGCCTAGGAGAGCGCGAGCTGGCCCTGCATGTGAGCAGCGCACATGCGCGTACAGGCTCCGCTCCCCCTAGTGTCTGCAACGGAAGTTGTCACTCTGAGGGGTTCTGAGACAGGGCAGGAGTGGGTGGCCAGTGGGTATCACCTTCCCTGAATCAGGCCTCAGGGGCCATTGACCGCAATACCTTCTGTCTCCTCAGAGGAAGCGACGGGAATCGGCCTCCAGCTCCTCTTCTGTGAAGAAAGCCAAGAAGCCATGAGGGGCCACATGGGGTGTGGGTGATGCTGCTGTGTAAATAGAGCTGCTTAGTTGCACTGGGCTGTCTCCTTTTCCTTCCTACCACTTCTCATGCCCCTGGCTGCGAGGGGGGTCACCACACCCACTTCATGGGGGTGGCATCGGGGTTTGCCTGCACGGGAGCCCTTAGCAGCCCTCTAACCACTAAACACTGCCAGTGTTGCCCAAACACCTGTGCCTAGGAACACCCATGGTTCTACACTCAAGATGGTTCACACCCAGCAGTGGCCTCAGATACCAGCAGCTTCAAAGAGCCTCGTGCTCAGGCCCCGTGGCCCTGTGCATATTCAGTGAGGGTATCACAGGTGCTCCAGTGCCCACCAGCTGCACTGGTGGTCTTGAGCAGAGAGTAGCCTGGAACACACTCTAACTCCTACACTTCCTGAGGCACAGCACACCTGGTCCACGCGCGCGTGCACGCACACACATACACACACACGGCCTCATTTCCCCGACTTTATTCAGTGGCACGTTCACAGCGGGGATGGGATAGACACAGGGTGGGGCCTGATCTGTCCTGGAGCCCTGGGGGCACCGCACACCATGCACTACGGATGGGAGGGGGCACAGGGGGGGCTTGGTGGCCCCAACAGAAACCTGTGTACCAGGGAGGAGGCGGTGAGAACCTGGGTCCCCCTAGCCCAGGCCCACAATGGGAGGGGCTAATACTGGGCTGAGGTTGAGGGGTAGGGGTGGGGGGCACAAAGTGTCTGCTCCAGAGGGGCCAAGTGGCCAAGCCCTTACCTAGGGCGCAAGCCCACAGGGCAGGCTGGGGGACACTCTGGACTTAGAGCTGTGCCACTCACTCTCCCTTTTCCTCTCTGGTGAGGGAGAGGAGGGTTCTGGGCTGGGCCAAGCAGCTACCCTGTCCTGTCCCATCCCGTCCTCGGCCAATCAGAACGGCTTTGATGTCTGCTTGAAGATGAAGCCTCGATAAGCAAGTGTCTTCATGATGTTGGCAATGTTCTTGCAGTCATCTAAAAAGAAGAGAAGACACTGAGATAGGCCCAGATCCTTCCCTCCATGCCCACGGGTGCTCTTAATGGGAGGGGGGTGGGAAGCAGGGTCAGATTCAGGGCCCACAGACTAAACCAGGGGGTCCCATCCCCTGGTGGCAGCATCTCCAGCTTCAGGTTGGGCTGGGTGATGCTGGCCCAGCAGGAAGCCTGGTCTCAATGCTTCTCAGTCCCATAATTCATGCTGGAAATTGGCCGGCGTGTCCCGCCCCGGCCCCAGCGGTGATATATGGGCGCCGTCGCAGTAAGAAAAAGGCAGAGTAAATGTGTAATTTCTCCCTTGACGGCCCCCGGCCGCTGGGCGATCCTTCTTGTTGCTGCCGCATGGGGACGGCCCGTCCGCCACACTCCGTCTTCCCGCCACCCGCCTTGATGTCTCCATTTCATTACTGTGCAGCCATTCATCATGCCCATGGCCAGGGTGACTTTGCCGGCACGGGCGTGTGTGTGGGAGATGTGGCCCAGGCCATAATCACTGGTGACGAGGCACAAACCTTGGCACTTTTGAACCAGGGCCCTGGGAAACACCTGCCCTGTGCCACAGGATTCTGTGCTCAAACAGCGACCTGCCTTGGCACCTGCTCCTGTGCAGCCCGATTGGTGCAGCGGGTCTAGATCTGGTCCCTGAATGCCCCGGCCAGTAGCCTTCTACTGGATATGCCTCAGGTTAAGCCCTGCCTCTCCCACCCCAGGAGTCAAAGCTAGTGCTGGGCAGGCTTTACCCTGTCTGGCCATATCTCAGGTTAAATACGTCTGTCAGCCAGACCCTGTCATAGCAGTTTCACTACTACTGGTGCCCATGAGAAACTCCATGCTCAAAACTGTTCTAGAACCCCGGTGGCTGCAGGAACAAGTACTCCGGGGTCTCAGTATCATGGGTATGGGCCAGGACTTCTATTACCACCAGCAGGAGGTACAGTTGCCCAGAGCCTGTCCCACTATCATAAGCCTAGTACAGGAATGGCCCAAGTGCCTGGGTTTTTCTGTTCCGCTGCCTAGAGCAGCCGCCAACTCCCCAACCCTTCACCTGCCTCTCCTCCCACCCCTCTCCCATAGATGCTCCTGGGCCATAACCAGGGCCTCAGCCGCCACCAGCCCTCATGGGATCGATGCTGTGATGCCAAAAGTATTGTACATCGATGTCATAATCAGGTGTGGGGGGGTGGTAAGGTCAAGGTGGGTCAGGAGGCCTCTGCAGCTGTCCAGGACCAACGCCCTCCTACTGAGTTCCCCAGCCCGCACTTGCCAGGACCTCAGACTAGGAAAGGCGACCTACCAGAGTTAGGACAGGGCTGCAGGAGCAGCAGTCGTCTGGTCAGCCCAGGGCCTGTATCATTAGCCAGACACCAGCTCTGCAGCCCCTGCTTAGGCCAGGCCAGGCCAGTCATATAGGGCCAGCTCATGGAGCTCAACATGAATGTATCCACGGTGGATGTGGGCATGGAGGTTGACCCAGGACCTAGATACAGGGACACCTTGTTCCTCCAGGGACTCAGGAAGTCATGAGGTCTGGGTTGAGGCAGAACAGAGGGAAGACAGATGGGTGGGCAGTGGCGGCCATGGCAACTCCAGACGTGACCCATCCCCGTGGTTTATGGGCCGGACACGCGCCCCGCTCAGCTGAGGCCCCGTCATTTGTCTCCCTTAGTGTGTATGCCTGTGCTGTGGGGGTAGAGGGTGGCGGGGGGAGGCTGCGACAGGAGGGGCAAGGCAGTGACGGGAGGGGAATGGGGCAGGACGAGGTGTGCAGGGCGGGTGGGGGTGGGAATGGGGCAGGAAGGGCCCCGGAGTGCGGAGGGTTTGATAGGGCCCAGGTGCTGGGATGGCACTGTCAGAGGGGCTCCCATAGGGTGATTTTTCTTCCCAAGTAAGTCTGGCCTTGTCCGGGTACCTCTAATTCTTCCCGTCTTCTGCACTCTGGGGACCATGGCCGCTCTGCATATTAAGAATAAGTCCCCTCGTTATCTGCAATTACCCAGCAGCCACACACCTCATTTCTTCCAGCAGAAAAGAAAATTAGTTTTCTATTGACTTCATCTGGCTCCTCCCTCATTGCTGGACAAATCATTCAATCTACCTCCCCTGGCCCAAGTGAAAGTGCCCAGCCCCTCCCCCTAGGCCACCAGCAACCCAGTGGGCTAGCACTGGCCTCTCCCCTGTGCCTGGCCTTGAGCTGGGAGAAGGTCCATGTGCCCCAGTCTCTGTCCTTGACTTCTCCCAACTCTACGGCTTCATCCACATCTGGCGCTTCAGCTACCCCTGAAGATCACTGTCTCCAGCCTGGACCTCTCCTGAGCTCCAGACCACAGATCCAAGCACCTCTGGAATAGCTCTTTCTAGATATCCATACAAACTCAAAATGTCCAGTAAGAACTAGTTTTCTTCCCCAAGCTTTACTTCCGTGTTCTCCATCTCAGCGAATGGTATCCCAAGACGCCCAAACAAGAAACCTGCACATCCGGGCTTTTCACCCTCACACCCCAAATCTAATTAAGTATTAAGTACAGATGTTATCTTATCTCCTGTCTAATCACCTACTTCCCTTCATTCTGGCAGCCCCCACCCCCCCCTCCCCCGCCAGACCCCTCATTTCTTGCTTTTATAAAATGTCCCCTTTCTTTCCCCTCGAATCCATTCCCTCATAGCCAAAGTGAGCTTTCTTATACAAATCGGATCGCATCCTTTTCTCTTAAAGTCCCTTAAGTAGTTCCCCTTGCCCTCAGTTTCAAGTCTATACTCTTTAATATGACTTAAAGGTAAAGCCCCTGCAAAAACAGATCCCTGCTCTGACTGTCTCACCTCTGCCACTCTCTACCCTCAACCCCTAATCTCACAGAACCACTTACTGCTTTCTGAAAATGACAAAGTGGGTTTTGGAATCAGGCCTGTTTCTAGCCTTAACGTTGGCCCCCGGCTGTGTGCCCTGCGGCAAGTGCTTAGTTTCGCTGAACTCCAGGTGCCTCACTAGAAGTGACAATGGAGGCTACCTCGGTATTACTGTGTGGACTGAACAGGTGGCGCACCCACACCTCTTTGCACATGCTTTCTGTTTGGAATACCTCTTCTCTTTTTGAAGGGAAAGCAAGGATGCTAGTTTTCTGGATGATCTGGTGAAGGGAAAGCGTGTACTGTATAATCTATGGCAAAGATGACATAGGGGCCGGCACACTTGATGAAACCAATTGTCATTCACTCCACCAATTCTGACTGACTACTGGGCCTATTTACTGGGGATTATGGAGTCTAACTTGTTGCAGCTGATCCACTGCAATGAAAGAAGAGAGACCCAGATTGCGGAAGACAATTGCTCTAGTTCACCCAGCAAGTCAGTGGTAGAGCAGTTATGGGCTTTCAGCACAGGCTCTTTTTCCAGCCCTTGAAGCCTTCATAAGAGTCAGTGCTACCTACTGATCAGTTTAAACAGTCAATGGCAGTTAGAAAATGAGCAAACTGGGCAGAAGCAGCAGAGAGACAGGTCTGGAACTTTTAACAGGTCCTAAGTTCAGAGCAAGACGGCAGCAGGGTGAGCGCGGTGACAACAGGGCCTCTCAGAGTCCTCTGCTTGAAGCCCTGGGGCCACCTGGGTCAGCAGCCCTACCTTCTGGCACCTCTCTGAGCTAATGAGGTGAGCCTGAAGACGTTATGGGGTGCGGGATGGGAGGGGGTGGGTCACAGCCTGGTGCTCACATTGGAGGCCACATCCAAGAGTAGGTCTTCCTTACCTCCAAATTCTAGAAGACTAACCTGTTTTGATGTTCCTGCAGAGTCATCAACCTGTGACAAAATGACTCTTTTTGGGTATTAGTATTCTTAATGTTGCAAATATTTTTGTATTGACAAGACCATAATGGGAGGGGTGCAGCAGCACAAATCCCCCCGAGAGGTGAATGGAGCTAGCACCTGACAAAGGATAAGCTTGTTGGCTGGGCCCAAGGGTAGTCCATTATCTGCCTTGGCGAAGCTGCTGCTAGTGGAAAGGTGGCTCAGATTGCTCAGGACACCCAGTGAGAGCTCACACAGGGCAACTACCTGAGGCTGACATGCTCCAGTTCGCTGCACTTGCCTGGAAATTGAATGGCAGAGGACAGAAGCAGAGCTTAAGCGGGGGCCACCCTCAGGAGGGAATGAATGAAGGCCATTCATTCGTGCACTCATTCATTTGGCAAACATACACTGACCCCTTTTGTGTGCCGGCACCTCATTCAGTCCGAGGATCAGGAAAGGGTTCCTGGGAGGACGAAGTTAAGCAGAGGTCTGAAGGCCATGTGGGAGGGGGCTAGCCAGCAAGTTGGGGTTGAAGTTGGGGAGATATCCTCAGCATAGTGAACAGCATAAGCACATTCTGGAGGGGAAATGTGGAGTGTCCAAAAATAATTAAGTTTAGCAGGTGGGGGAGAGGGGTGATGACGACTAAGAGGCAGGGGAGTGACATGAGATGAAGCTGGTGAGGTCAGCAGTCACGGGCTAGAGGAAACCCTGAAAAGCCCTGCATACTAAGGTAAGGAGACTAAGACTATTATTCTGGGAATGATGGGGAGACAATAACATGTTTAAGAAGGGGCAGGACGGACCAAATCTGTGTTTCAGAACTATCATTTGAGGATCAGAGGGGTTAACCCTGAAGGCAGAGACACCAATTAGCAGATGGTACTATGGGCCAGGCCAGAAATGGTGGCCCAGAGATAGGCCAGTGGTAGTGGAGGTGGAGACATTGGTGGTGTGCAGAAGTGGATAGAGTTAAGAGGATTTTTAGGAAACAGGGTGAGCAAGCCTTAACAGGGGACCGGGAGGATGAGAAGAGGGAGGAGTCTAGGATCTTAGTACCACTCACTGATATAAGGCAAACCAAGAAAAGGAGGTTTGGGGCAGTGATGAACTTAGCTCTGGACAGGTTAAGTCTTGAGGTTCCTATGGGACATCTAAACTTATCAGGCATTTCCTTTATGGCTTTACACCTTGCT